TAGGTTGTAGGTGATACCTAGTGATAGCCTCCCTAAGGGGCTTTGGATGTAGCTTCTGAAGCATGGTTTGAAAAGATGATTTATTATTAGCCTGTGGAATTTAGCAACCCCTAAAATGGTATCCTGATATCTGAAATTAAGGCAGTAAGGATCTTTCTGCCCCACTGAAAGTTAAGACGTTTTGCAAAGCCCCCATCCAGATGAGTTGGATGAGCCAGCTAAATCTTTGTATCTGTACTTAAGGGACTCTTAGGGACCCTCGAGGGCTGAAGTGCCCCTGAGGCTCAGGCTGCTTTAGCTGCAGGACCACTTAGTGATTGGAGGGCATATGCCTGAGTTAAGTTGACTTGGAAAGGGGAAGAGGCACCAGATATTTAAGGGGATGCAGGATAGAGGCAACCCGCTTACCATCATACTGAGAGACTCTCAGTGGGTCCGAAGGGACACTACAGTGTTCCCCAGGGGTTTGGTAGAAGACTACCAGGGGCATCCTTGCTGGGTTGGAAGTAGGCTTCCAGGGTCACAACTGGGGCTAACCAGGATATTTTTGGATGGATATTTTTACTACTTGGGAGTCAGTACCTGTATGAGTGCTTATGGCAACTCCTGTTCTGGTTATTATGCGTAGAGACAAACAGAAACCTTTGAAGTCATCTGAGCCATCTTGCCTACTTAATACTAACCAGTATTGGGTCCCTGGGTGGAAGGATGTGAATAGTCTTAATGTGAAATATAGTTTTTCTTACTGATGGAGATGAAGGAGGTTGGAATACTTCATCATACAGAGTCCCCTTATAATAACATGTGTGGCCAGTGAAGAAGATAGATGTTACCTGGAACTTTGTATTAGATTACAGGAAACTGAATAAAGTTGTTCTCTCAATTTCAATCACTGTGACTGGTTTTGATATTGTAAACATGTGGACCAGGTAGCCCATGCATTGGATGAATTCTTTTTCTTTTTTCTTTTTTTTTTGCTTTTTTGGTGAGGCAGTTGGGGTTAAGTGACTTGCTCAGGGTCACACAGCTAGTAAGTGTTAAGTGTCTGAGGCTGTATTTGAACTCAGGTCCTCCTGACTCCAAGGCCAGAATTCTATTCACTGCGCCACCTAGCTGCCTCATGGATGAATTCTTATAATCTTGCCATAAGCTATTTCTCTATGCTCATGACTGAGAGTAGTCCAGAGTAGTTTGATTTTATTTGGAAAGGAGTTCCAGTTTACTGTCTCTGTCCTTCCTTATCCTTGTCTTCTCTTTCATATTGCTGACGTCGAAAAGAACTATGTTTCTTGAAGGCACTGATGTCCACCACTCTTTTGATGATATAATATTGACCAAGCCCTAGATCTGTTGGTGACTCATGTTAAGTATAGAGCGGGGGAGATTAACCTTATGAAAATTCTTGGCCCAGCTTGCTTAGTTAAATTTTTGGACTAAGGGAAAGCCAGGTGATATAGTCCATAATAAGATAATTTTCTTCCACAATTGAAAAGTAACCTCAGGTGCTTATTTGATCATTTGGTTAGATAAACCTTATTCCCACCCTAGTTATTTTGTTGACCTCCATTTATTGAGTACCCATAAGCCTGCCTCTTAAGTAGGACCCAGAACAGGTTGTAGAATTAGAAGACCTAAAACAGTCTCTCTTCTCTCAGCAGGCTCTCTTCTATTGAATCCTTATCACTCTTAAGGGCCTATGTTTTTAGAGATCTGTGGTCATGAGGACCAGTCTGAATGGTACCTTTGTCAGGCACCAAGGGAAGGCCAGATTAAGTGATTGTAGATTTGTGGACCTGTCAGCTCCTTGAAGTGGCTACTTGTTGCAACACTTTTCAGAAGCAGTTGCTGGCCTCTTATTGGGCCCTAGTTGCTATTGAGATGCCAGGGGATCAAACCATTATCCTTTGTCCAAAATTGCCTTTTGTGAATTCCATGATGGAATATGGCTTTTCCAATAATATGAGTAGGACATAGGAAACTTCCATTGTTTAATGGGAATGTTATATTCAATAACATGCTTGTCTAAGGCCTGTGTGTGTGTGTGTGTGTGTGTGTAGGAGAGCATGTACACATGCTTAGTCCGCATCATGAATGGTGCCCTTTTTGCTATTGATATAGCCCTGCAATCTAGCCTCAGCGCTTTGTCTCTCCCGACAGTCCCAGAGACCTATGATTACTTGGCTCTTGAGGAAAGTCTTTTTGCTGTGCTCAGAAGGGGGATCGCTTTCTATTTCAATGATTTCTTGGATGTGCCCTTTAAGAAGGATGCACCTATGAGAATGAACAACTTTTAGGCATAGTCCTATTTGGCTCTGTTATTCCATCCCTGGTATGAAGTCAGCTGGCCCTTTAAGTTTTTCCCCTCAGAAGAATGTGAATGTGGGGGAAATGGTTCATGACCGTCTATTAAATTAGCAGGTCTCTTTTCCCCAGGATGATTTGGATAAATCCTTTCTAGAAAGGATTTAAAGGAAAAAGAGGTGAGATTGTTGAGAGGCATTTCATTTTCTAGTGACATGAGGAAGTGATAGTAAAACTGGCTTTATATCATTATGGGGGTTAGCCTGCTTGATTGTAGACCTATGTTCCTGGATGAAGGTGTTGGGGAGTGTTTGTGCAGCCTCCACAGAAGGTGGTGGAGGATGGGGTGGGGTAAGGGTAATCCCTTATCAGAGGCCGCCAAAGGGACAGGAATTTGTTAGGATCCCTAGGGAGGAGGCAGTTTTGCCTGGTGGACTGGTTGGTGGTACTTTACGGTGAATCTCAGTATCAATTTAGATCCTGGGGCAGCTTGCCTGCAAGATGCTTAGGGCCTCTCAGCCCTCCTGTTACAGATAATATTGACCCATGGTGCTGATTGGCGACTGTGTTGGAGTTCTTATTATTATTGTGTGTGCCTGATGTTTCCTGTTTACCTTTTTTTTTGGTTGCTTCCTTTTCTTTGAAGACATTGTCCCAGACAATACTTTTACTGCATGTACTGTGTTTTTTAGAGGACATTGATACTGTTGCAGGTTTTTTATCTTTCTTTTTTTTTTTTTTTTGGAAATGAATAGTGTTTATTAAGTATTTACTATGTGCAAAGCAGTCTGCTAAGTGCTGGGAATACAGATAGAAAAGTACAGCTCCCTCTTTTCAAACAGCTCACATTTTAAGGGGGAAGACAGCCTAGAAGGTTTCAACCCCAAGTCAGATGGAAAGGTCCCATGGTCCTTAGGGTGCTTAGCAAGCAGATGGTAGTGACTCTTCTTTGATATTATTTCCACTGTTAAAATTATGACACTTTCTGATGCCAAACTGTTTGACAGCACCAAGGACTTTGGTGGCAAGAACTTTCTTTTCTTGGTCTTCAGTAGCTGCGACTGTAGCACTTGCAGTAGTAATTGCCAGGCTGTACCTCCACAAGGGTTACTTTCCAGGATGATGACCAAGGGCACTGGGCTGGAAGCATTGCTATTGCCAAGGCTCTTGGGTTCAGGGTCCTGGGCTGTCTCCATGGGGATCTGAGGGAAGATGCTAATCAGTCAGTAAGTGTCTACTATGTGCCAGGAACTATGCTATGTGCTGGGGATACAAAAAGAAGGAAAATATAGTTCCTACCTTGAAGGAGCACAGAGTCAAACAGAATGTGGTGGTGGTTTGACTTGTCTAACATGTGCTGCCTCCTATCTCTCCCTCAGGGGTCCCTGCTGTTTCAGGTAGGCTGGCTTTTCTGCCCTGTGGTTGGTCATTGGTGGAGATGGCTGACTCTTTCTCCACAGGAATTGTTTCCTCAGATGATGGCTTCGAAGGCTGGACCTGGAAGCAAGACTGGTAGTCTAGGGATTGTGACTACTGTTAGGGCTCCTTTGCCTATCTATCTATTTGGTCAGTAGTTGCTACTGGTGCTGATGGGGAAGGTGGGCCCTCTCTCTACAGTAATTTTTCTTATCAATGATGGCTGTGGATGCTGGGCTAGAAGCAGATCTGGTGGTTTAGGGCTGGATTACTGCTATTCGCAAGGATTTGGGACTGAGGGGCCTTGGCTGTCTTCATCAGAATCTGAGGGGAGATAGTGGTCGAGGTGGTGGTGGTTTGATTTGCCTGGCATTTGCTCTTTACCTTGGGGTACCTTGCTGTTTCAGTGAGGCAGTCTTGCCTGTCCTGTGTGTGTATTTGTATTAATGTATCCAATGTGTATCCATTGGACTATGTTAGGTTTTTTTCTAAGGGCAGAGTTGTTTCAAGGTCAATTAAGTGGTAGAAAGTCCCCCGGAAGATTTTTGGGACCTTTCCACCAAGGGGATGGCATGTGGTAGAACCCGCATTTATTTTATGTGGCATGGAATGGTTTTCTTTTAAGAAGGCAAGGAAGCTTCCTTTGGATTTGGTTGATGTGAAAGTATGAAATTACCACCTTGTAGGGAGTGGTATTCTGAAGTCTGGTGTAATTTCCACTGCCCTGAAGGTTGTTGTTTTGTGTTGCTGCCCTGACAAATGTGAAGGTTGGGGAAATAGCATCTATTTTTAATAATTATATCCTTTTAAATCCTTTATTGTAACTTCTTTTTTTTTTTTGTATGTTGTGATTGATAGGTAGTATTTCATTACATTCTCATTGCAAGGCTGCATCCATGCCCTGAGCTTAGGCCATTGCTGAAGATGTGGCGTTTGACAGCCAGAGACAGCCATTTCCTTTCATTGTTTCATTTCTTGGAAGATTTCTTATTGTCCAGCTATGGCTTGAGTAATCATTGTAAAGTGTACAGATTAAGTAATGACATGCCATAAATAGGATTCTTTGGCATTAAAAACATGTGCATTTTTAAAATATTAAAAAGTATTCTGTTTTATACCCAGTAGCTGCTGCTTACCTTGCTTGCCCTTAGTCCTGGCTTTGCCAAAATCATACAAATTTTACTAATACACTTCTATGGAATGGACTTTCGTATTTGGAATGATGCTTAATTTGTGAAATGCTTTTGTATATTCATATGGTAACTCTCTTGTCTATTCAACAGAAAATGGCAGGAAGCCAGCCAGCGAGTCCTAGAGCTGCAAGAAAGCCAGTGTCTTATAGCTGACAATGAAAAGAAAATCAAAGTGAGTAGTATGTTGGTTTCTTCCTCCCTCCAAGTTAGGTAAAGGTGTTTTTGTTTTATAGACATTTCAGATGGTGGACCTGGTATTTTTTTTGGGGGGGGGGGGTTAGGCAGTGGGGTTAAGTGGCTTGCCCAGGGTCACACAGCTAGTAAATGTTATGTGTCTGAGGTCAGATTTGAACTCAAGTCCTCCTGAGTCCAGGGCTGGTGCTCTATCCACTGTGCCACCTAGTTGCTCCTGGACCTGGTATTTCTGAAGGACGATTCAGAAGTGTGTTTGAGGATGGGATGGTGTGGATACTCTAACTAGTTAGGTCTGTGTTAGATTGGGCCATCTCAAATATATGGTCCCTGGCTTCAGGTTAACTGCAGTTCCCTTAAATATATTGAGTAGCTCTTTGCTCAGAAAAATATGTAGTCAATTAACATGTCTTTTTGAAGGGAAGTAAAATGGTTGAGTTTTAATTTTATGGAATGCATGAATTTTGAGTCTGTGGCGACTGAGTTAAAGATCTGGTTAATGAAACCAAATTTGTAGTCTTTGATGGACCATTTACCTTTGTTTTACTAATAATCACACATTATACCTCTAACCCTATTGTGGCATTTAGAAATAAGTGGACAAGGTGTCTATAGCTGCATCCAGATAGAGACATCCCCATTGTTTAAAAAAGTCAAATATTGAGTCTATAGCACTAGGTGATTTTATGAAGTACAGCAAATTTCATTGTTATTAAAAAAGGAATTATGAGCAGGCTGTCAATGCTCCCATGTTCCATCTCTTTTGGGTCTCTGGTCTTCTTAGGAACTGGAGCAGAAGCTATCTCTGCAGGAGCAGGACGCTGCCATTGTGAAGAACATGAAGTCAGAACTTGTACGATTCCCAAAGATGGAGAGGGAAGTGAAGCACCTAAGGGAGGAAAATGTCTACCTGAGGTAAAGGGGGAAGAAAAAAACGGTCTGGTGCTAGCAGGACCCAAGAGCCTTTTGTTTCTCTAATTAATATTTAAATTTCCTAGAATCTCAGATAGGACCTCGACGGTCACCTGGTCTTATCCGTCCCAGCTTAGGAGCTCCTCTTCAACCCCTAGATAAGTGTTTAAGTGTGGTCTCTGCTTGAAGATTTCCAGTGATGAGAAACTCACTACCTCCTGAGGTAGCCCATATCACTTTTAGACAGTTCTCGTCATTAGGAACAGAAATCTGCCTCCCTTAATATCCTGTTCATTGTTACTAATTCTGTTCTCTAGGGTCAAGAAAAACTAGTTTAATTTTCTTCCACATTTTAATCCTTCAAATACTTGAAGACAGCTACCATGTCCTCCCTCAGACTCCTCACCCCAGGCCAACCGTCAGAGTCATCCTTGATTTTTTCCTCTCTCTCGTCACCCACATCTAATCAGTTGTCATGTCTATTAGATTATGTCTTCTCTGGGTCTTGTGTCTGTTTCCCCTTCTTTATTCACCAGTGTACACCCTAGTTAAGGCCCTGAAACACTGCTCTCCTGGACTATTGCTAAAGCCTTCTAATTGTACTTTATGTATGATAGACACTTAAATGCTTGTTGAATTGAATTAGTGTTCTTTCTTCTAGTGTCTTTCCCCTCTAATTCATCTTCTTCACTGCTGCAAAAATCATCTTCCTAAGGCACAGGGAGAGAGAATAGAATAAAATAAGGCATCTCACTGTCCTGCTCTGTGATAAAATAGAAACATCTCATTCTGACATTAGAAATATTCTGCAGTCTGACTACTTCCCTAATTCATTTCATATTTATTTCTTTCTTCACAAATTCTGCATTCTAACCTAAATGGCCTATTTGCAATTCCCTGAACCCTGCATTCACATTCCTTTATTTTTGCCTTCATGCATGCACGCTCCCACATCTGAACAGTCCCCATCATCCTCAGCTTTACCTCTTAGAATGGCTTGTGGCTTTCTAGTCTTAGCCTTGGTGCCTCCTCCTATGTGAACGCTGGGGTGGCCTCCATCTCCAGTTGTCAGTGCTTGTCTGTTTTCATCTGTATATATAAGTTGTGTCCTCTCCAGTAAATGGAGGCCAGGAATTGTTTGGTTTCTTTTTTGTGTCCCTAGCACCAGGTATAATGCCTTGTACCTAGTAGGTGCTTAATGCATGTTTGTTGAATTAAAATCTGTTCCTTCATCCAAGTAATGATAAAAGTATGAACCAAGCAAGGCCAAGGACATAGTACAGTGGCACTCCACCAGAAAAAATCATGTTGATTTTATTTACACTGTTGTCAGTCTTTCTATTTTTCTCTTTTTTTTCTTTCCTTGTGATCTAGTAATATTATGTTACATTTACATACCATTATTTATTCAATTATTCCTTAGTCGCTAGGCAAACATTTTTGTTTTTGAACTTTTTATTGCCATAAGTAATGCTGCTAATAACCTTTTTGTATCAGAGAGTTTTCTTTTTGTCAATAACTTGTTTGGGATGTAGTTCCAGAAATGGGATTATTTTTGCGTGTGGGAGGGGTATCAGAAGGTATAAACAATTGAATAACTTTATTACATAATTCCAAATTGTTTTCCTGAATAGTTGAAATAATTTACTGATTTATCATCAGTGGATTAGTAAGCCTATAACCCTTCCATCATTGAGTTTTTCTATGTTTCTGTAATTTTTATTATTTTAAGTGTGAGGTGAATCACAGTATCTAGATGGGACATTTAGTTCCACCACCTCATTTTATAGATAAGGATACCGAGGCCTATAGAGGTTAAGTGATTTGCCCAGAAGTCACTTACGTAGTAGTAAGGTCACAGAAATAGTAAGTGCCAGAACTAGGATTTGAATGCAGGTCCTCCAGTAGGATAGTTTTAATATGCATTTCTCTGATTATTAGTGGTTTTGGACATTTTAAAAAGGTGCTCATTTTTATTTTGTAGTTCTTTTGAAAGCTCTTTTGTTCATATCCTTTGATTACTTGTCTGTTGGGGAATTGCTGCTGAATTTAAAAATTTGTGTTAGTTCCTTATAGATTTTTGGTGTTTGGCTTTTAATAAGGTTATTAAGTGAACCTATTTTTTTTTTCCACCAGTCTAGTAGTCTTATTCTAGCTGCATTGATTTTATTTGTGTAAAAGGTTTTTAAAACTTGTTTTTATCAAAAATGTCTATTTTTGTCTTTTGTGACCTTTCATTTCCTTTGTCTGGGTATAAATTTTTCTCTTATTCATAATTATGAATAATATATTTTAGTGTTTTACCAATTTGAAATTTATTGTCATTGGAGATATGAAAGATGCTGACAACTTATTTTCCAAACTGTTTTCCAGCTCTCCCAGCAATTCTTTTGAATATGTAGTAGCTTGCAGTATATTTGTTTGTGCTGCTCCAGAGTTTGTTTTGAGGCATTATTTTAAAGTTTTTTGAAGGGTATTTTGGGAGAGCTCAGACAAGTCCTGACCTTTACTATGCCATTTTGGCTCCATCTACTTGGAATATATTTGTAAGAAACAAGTTATGAATGATATGAAAGTAATCAGACCCTACTAGAATGGCAAAGATTTGATAGGGAGAGTTAGTTTTCTAGACTAGGATGAGACCAAGTGCCCTCTGGATTGGTAGATGCTGCGCATTTGCTGATCAAGCCCAGGAGCTGGTTCAGGACGAAAGATTAGTTGCTTTATAAATGGTTGGTTGTTCTCTCCCTGCTGCCACCAGAGAAATGAAAGAGAACAATGGCTTGTTGAAAGAAGAAGTAGAAGGACTTCAAAGAAAACTGGAACGTCATGAGAAGATACAGGAAGATATGGTGGCCTTGGAATTGGAGAAGGAGGTGAGGATCTATGCTTAAGAAGCCTGCTGTCTGGTGAATATTGTTTCCTTACCTGCTTGTCTTAGCTTTCCTGAAGGACCTTAGGACCTTATGTCCAGTTTGATTTGTTTATTCAAACTGGCAATTTCCTTTTTTCCCCCCTTAAACCTTAATCTTTATTGTAATGTCTCTTCTAGTAGTGAGAATAAGAGAATGCAAGATATTCTTTCTTTGGAAGAGGTTTTTTTTTTCCATAATAGCATACATGGACTATAGTTTACTTCAGAATGGACCTTCTTTTGTAATATACATCAGGATTTTTGTCTGAGGATAGTTGTGTCGGTTTTAAAATCTTAAACTTGAAGAGACCCTTATTATTTTACATCTGCAATATGTGTGTGTGATAGATCTATTCATGGATGAACTTAATTACTTCTCCATGCAACTGCAGAGCAAAATTTTACAGAAGACATTCTTCATCATATTTTATTTTTCCACTTTGCTGGTGAAACTCTTAAGTTTTTATTAATGTCTTTTGTTTTTTATATCCTCATGGTATTCTCCATTATTTGTCCCAGGCTCCTAGAGAGCCATCCCATATAACAAATAATATTTTTTTTAAAGACAGAAAGAAAAGAGGAAAAACCAATCAATTCATTGAAAAAGTCTGAAAACAGGTGCTATGTGCAATACCTGTGGGCCTCCCACCTCTAAGAAGCCTGGGCTGGAAGTGTCCTCTTATATCTCTTCTTTCAAATCATGCTTTATCTTTATATTTTGCTATATTATCTAGTGATGCAATGAGGGGGAAAGAGACTAGAACCCATTCTGATTCAATCCTAGTTCTTTTTTCTTTTCATTCCTCTTTGATGATGTTTCATTCTATTAAGACTATTCACTTATATTAAGACTAGTTATGTGAAGTTTCTTGAGGTCAGGGGCCTATTGCAGTTGAAGAGCATATACTAAGTAACTGATGAATAGATTCACCTACTTGATTTTTTTTAGTTTGATTGTTAAAAATCTTAGCCTCCAACAAGATGGCAAAGTCATTATAATACTCTGACTTGGCGGCAGTGGGGTTCCATCCTCTTACAGTAATGGGAAGAACCTGTTTCTATTATTGTTTCTTCTGGGCCTAGGGATTTAAATCATACAGTGCGTTCCTCAGGTCATGAGAAAAAGAAAGAAGCTTGTGGGGCTAGGTTTTCTTTTTGGGTGGGTCGAGAGGAGGTCTTGGGGAGGCATGTTTGATTTCATCACTTGAATAGAGCTCCTAGGTAGGAACTTCCTCTGCTAGTTGAAATCTACACCTGCAATGCAACCTACAGAGAGAGTTGTGGCGGGGCATTGAGAGGTCAAGGGATTTGTCCAAGTCCCACAGTCCATATATGTCTAGGTAGGCCTTGAGTCTTGATGTTCTTGTCTTTGAGGCCATGTCTCTTTGCTACCCTATGCTGCCTTTAGTGGAGCAGCCATTGCTCATGATTCTGGGTTCTTTGGTTGGTTCATGGTTTTGCAGTAAGGGTCTAAGGCTATTTCTTGTTACTTTTTGCATTTTGGGATGTATATTTTCGGTTATGGGACTAGATAAGAATGAACCAGGGAAACATACATTGAAACTACAGCAGTTGGGAAAAAAACCTAATTATTTGCATTATTACTTATAATGTTTACCTTTTCCTAAGGAGGTAGGAGATTATAAAAAATAATGAAAAATAAAAATTTATTTACTCTCATATCTAGTCAACCCTTAGATTCAGGGAGCAGTTGTGATTTGGCCCTGAGTGTTATTGTGAATCAATATCCATCATGCTCTAATCATGAGACTACAAAGGATGTTGAATTTTAAGGGACATTGTTCCTGGAATTTGAGATGGAAGGAAACGGTTTTAATACATTATGATTTCTTTGACTTTTTAGAAACTTCTGGAAAAGCTGAAAAGCTGGGAGAGACTGGACCAAACTATGGGCTTAAATATCAGGTATGTAATAAATATGTGTGAAGTTATGCTGTCCCTTTTTTCAGTTTTCACAGCGTTTCTTTTGGAGAGCTATCCCTTGATTTCCCTGAATCAGGTTATCTTAAGAACCTGTCTTGATTTTAATTAATTTGTGTGTTAGTGTGTGACGTGGGGAGTTAATCATGACCTTTAAAGACAAATTCAATTTGAAGTGTCAGAATATTATAACTTTGAGAACATGAAGGTCCAAGTTAAAGGGTTGGTGCTAGGTAGCTACATGTTTTTTGGTACTAGCAGAAGTATAATAAATTCCATTTTAAAGTCTTTTTCATCAATTTGGGAATTTAAGGACAGAATTTGTAGCTTGTGATATTAGATATTTAAAAACCATAGAGTAAACATATTTTGACACTTCAGCATATATCGACTTTGATTTGTCTGTGATCTCAGAATATGGTACTCCAATGGTACAGATTGGTGAGGCACATTTATCATCCTGTGTGACGATTGTCTATGTCTTCCCATAATTTTTTCACATTGGGTCTAACCAACATTTTGCCTTCCTATGGTTCTCTTGACATTGCTACAACACCAATGGAGTTTGATTGATCACTCTTCTGGTTCAAAATGAGCATATCATTAATAACTTGGGAAAAATAGGATTTATTGATAGTGTGGTATAGTGTAAGTAGCATGAGATTGACATTCAGAGGATCTGTACCAGATCTCAGTTTTGCCACTGTTACTCAGGCAAACAGTTTAACTGATTTTGGCTTCAGCTGCCTCATCTTTAAAATTACAGAGTTAGGAGCAACTAGGTGGATAGAGCACTGGCCCTGGAGTCAGGAGGACCTGAGTTCAAATCCAGCCTCAGGCACATAACACTCACGAGCTGTGTGACCCTGGGCAAGTTCCTTAACCCAATTACCTCACCAAAAAAAATTAGGGAGTTGGATTGGATGATATCTTAAGGTCTCTTTGAGCTTTAATCATTTATGATTCTGTGTTCGAAGATTCTAAAAATCTGGTCCTTTGATAAAGATCCCTAATTTAATGTCTGTCTGACTGTTTAATCTTTTGACCATACCTTTGTTTTCATCAGAGTAAGGAGCTCTATGTAAAACTCTTCCTCTGCTAATGAAGATGTCCATTGATATTTACAGTCTGAGAGAATGGCCTGGGGTCAGGTGACTTGGCCAGGTTTACACAGCCAGGGTGTGTGTCAGAGGAAGGACGTGAACCCACATTCTCTTGACTCCAAGGCCATCTCTAAATGCACTATGCAATACTGCTTCTCTTTAATAAATATTTAATAAGAGGTTGAAGAGGTCAGAAAGATGAAAAGCCAATTTAGTACATAGATGCTGGCAGAAGGACCTGAGAAAGTTTGATGAGGAAAGACTGGAAGGGAATTTAATGACTAACTCTAAGACTAAGGGAAAGGGAGAATTTGGGAGTAGTGTGTAGGTTTGTTATAGTGAGGCCCAAGGCCTCATGAACAAATTTCAGATTCCACAGAAACTCTAGTGCTGGTGTGCTCAAACCAAAATATACTTAATGCCCAAATAACTCCTTGATCAACATAGAAATAGATGAGTTTCAGTTTAATTTTTTAGTTACCCCTGTAGGTTAAAAATTAATTATTTGTTTTAAAAATTTGAGGGCCATTTGCCTTATATTTATAAATTGTCCCTTCAATTATCATATCCTGTTTTCCACTTGACCTGTTGTGTTCTTTCCCTCCCATTGGGCCCAGAACATGCTAGCAGAAGAGTAATTTTGACATATTTCAGTCTTCCCCTTTAGAAGAAAACAGGTTTTGTTCCTCAGAGCTTGTCCCAGCAAAGTTTCTCTGTCAGCTGTTGGTGGAGAAGCTTTTACTTCCTGCTGTTCAGGTTTAATGAGGTAATTTCACAGTGGGGGGGAAATGGAACCAAGTGACTTTTCCTGCTGAAGTCTAATAACATCTTCATTTAAAATCAGAATATTCACTCCAAAGTGTTAGCAAGGTATTTGATTGCACCACATTGTTTAGTATTGTTAAAGGGTTCTTTTTTTTTCCCCATATATACAGAAAAGGTAATTGCTCTCAAGAAAATCATTTCTTCTTTGTGATTATAGCAAGTAGAGTTGGGTCGAGTTTTTAGACCTGCCTCTTATGGCTTGAAGAACATTCTTTTTTTTTTTTCCTTGTAGTCTGGGACAGGAAGGCAAAAATATAATCAGAAATTATCGACCTACTCAGGCCCCTGTAGTGATCCCCTTTGCCATCTTCAGCCAAGTTATTTGCCAGCTTGTAAGTAGGCTAGAGCCAGGATGGGGTCAGTAGATTGGGCACTGCTGGATGGCACATTTTTTGATGTTTATCCTAGAGTCAGTGTGAAATGAACTCTACCTCTTTATAAGTAAGAGAGAGGGGAAGAAGCAGCAGCCATGACTTTCCATTGCTTCCTGTTTCTATTTTCATCTCTCTGTTACCCCAGGGCTCTCTTGGGCAGGGGGAGTTGTTCATCTTTGTCTAGTGGTTCTGCTACTGTTTGCCTCACTTGTAGGTGCCGCAACCTCTTTGCCGCCTAATTTCTAATTTCATAAGCCTTCATCTGAATATCTTGCTGAATGGCTTTTTCCTTATGTATTTTTCTCTTAATCTTTCTGGAAAGGCTGAACTTAACATTTTCAGTTAGTCATGCGAACACCAGGAGGCATGGAATATTTAAAGGGCTCTTTATTTTTACATGCTTGTTGGGTTTTAAGACAGGCAGGGATGTGTAAGTCTTTCATGCTTTTACAAAATCTCTCCCAAGATTGAGAATTTTCCTTAAGGAGTTGTCCTTTACTTAAAGAGTAATTTAATTAAGCTATCCAACTGCTGGCTCTGGAATCAGCTTCCATTTCAACCAGTTTTATTGGCTTCAGTTCCCTTTGCAATTTTACAATGCTTCTTGGGTTTTTCCTTCTTCTGCTTTTAAGAGTTACAGAGGACAAACTATGGTGCTATTTTTTTTTTGAATTTCACCTGAAAAACCCAAGATTGTGTTGTGCAAATCCCATAGAGCCTTAATCTTCAGAGAGAGTTCCTCTTTTCCAGATTTATTAGCCAATCAGAAAGTAGCTCGCCTGTTCACAGTGATTCCTTAGGCAAATCATAAGCATCCATGATTTCTCTAGAATGAAGGGGATCAAATAACCACTTGTATAATCAGTCAGGCCTCTGCTGGAATGTGAGAGTACCTGGTATCTGCTAAAGGGCAAACAAACGGAATGAACAAGCAGAACACATGTTGCAAAATTGAACTTCTTTCCCAAATGCAAACTAACATGTATGTATTTATTCATTTCACATCCACAGTGTGTGTTCCCCAAGTCACTTTAACTTTCTTGGGCTGTTGTTTCTTTCCTTGATGATCTCATCAGTTTCCATTGGTTCATGTCATCTTTATGCAGAAGATTCCCAGGTCTAGATATCTAGCCCTAGTTTCTCTCCTTATAGGTAGTTGGGGATGTCAGAGGGTATCTCTGGTTCATCATGTCCAAAGTAATGTCATTATCTTTCTCCCCAAACCTTCTGAACTTCCTTATTACTTTTGAGGGTATTAATATCCTTCCAGTAAGGCAGATTTAGAACCTATGTGTCATCCAAGGCTTCTCACTCTTCACTCTTCCCTCCTGTCCCCCATTTCTGGTATGTCACCAAATCTTGTCATTTGTATTTCCACAACGTCTCTTGTATATGACCTCTTCTCTCCACTCACATAGCCACTACTGTACTTCAGGCCATCATCACCTCTGACCTGATCTGTTGTAGTAGCCTCCTACTTGGTGTTCCTTTTTCAGATCTCTTTGTACTCCAATCCATCCTGTATACAACTGCCAAAGTGGTTTTCCTTAAGTGAATGTGTAGCCATGTTAACTTTCCTCTGTAACCCCACTTTGCTCCTCACAATAAGCTCTAATCGATCCATTACCTGTTACCCTATTTGATCCTAAATCAGTCAAATAATCATCCTAATTTGATTAGCCAGCCTAATCAAATATGATTAGATGTCCATGATTGATCTTTTAGAATGTTAAGGCTCATATTGGTCAAGTACAGATTATAAAAAGGAAGAGGCAGTATTTGACTAGATTTTCTGACTCCAGTGCTTGCTGTCTTTTCACTATTATCTTACATTTGTATAGGTTTTTACAGTTTACAGCTTGCTTGTTTGAAGGAAAGAATGTACATAGTGTATTAATTGGGAGGGTATTAATTAGACTGGTTTTAGAATGTAGAAGGTTTTTTTAGGGGAGTGTTTCGTGCGATTGGTTGAAACTCTTGAATGGTATGCTAAAGAGTTTGGATAAATTTTTTTATGATTAAAAATTTTATTAAGGTATACAGAAAGACTTATTAAGATGACACTTAATCTTGGCCACAGGTGGCAACAGATTCCAAAGTAGAAATGCAGATATCTCAAAGCAGGAAAAGAACCAACAGCATCTTATCTAGCTTGGGAAAGTCGTTTTTTTTTTTTGGCCAGATTTCTTAATTTCACTACTGGCAAGTGATCCCTTCCTAGCAGCTTTTGCTTTGAATTTTTGTAGGTTTTTTCTTTTTCTGTTCTTTTTGTTTTAAAGCTAAATCTTCCTTGTCCTCTTGGATTGCTTCAGAGACTTCCACTGCTGAAGACAGTACACAGTGCCTTTTAGTCAAGTTATCTGACCCACCTCTTCTCCCATCCAGAGTTTGGATAATATTTAATGGGAACCACTGGAGGTTTTTGAGGAAGTAGAGAGAGAGAGAGAGAGAGAGAGAGAGAGAGAGAGAGAGAGAGAGAGAGAGAGAGTGTGTGTGTGTGTGTGTGTGTGTGTGTGTGTGTGTGTGCGCGCGCGCGCGCGCGCGCCTGGTTTAGAGTTGCAATTAGTCATTCAGCAAAGGTGTACTAAGGGCTTACTCTGTGTTAGGTACTGTGCTAGGATCTGGGAATATGATAACAGTCAAACTATTTGTTTTCAAAGGGATTACATTCTAGTGGAAATTG